ATCGAGATTGCAAACGTATTGACTGTGGAAATTCTGTGTATTGCAAACTTGTATTGAGAAAGAATAAACTAGGTTTATTTAAGAAAGGACTTGTATCACTGAAGTTCATCTGGAAGAATTTATACCAGAAATAAACAAACGATCAGAGACGTAACGATACATTACAAGAGAAGAATTAAAGTTTAAGCATACATTTTTCTGAAACTGTAGAAACTAAAAGTAGCTATGTGGATACCCATAACCACACCCTGAAAAAACAAGAAATTAAATTATCTGATGTTTGTTAATAGGACAACTATTCTAAAAGTATGGAACTACAAGTTTCAACAATGCTATGATTCACTATCTTTTTTAATTTTTACTTAAGTATTTACTTAAGCAGTAACAAACTGTATATTAAATGTATTAATTCAATATATTATAAATCTTTTGCAAGAAATCATACCACTGCAATGCACAAAAGTACAATGCATAAGTACATTCAAACTCTTAAAAATTGTAAGCTTCGATTGCATTGCATTTTTTCATTGTGAAAATGCAACTACACGTAAATTAATGTTTGTTTTTAAAGTTAGTTCTTTATACTATTTTATATAATATAACAAAATGTCCCCAGCATTAACAAACAAAAACAAGCTTATTTTAACTGAATTATCTCTGTAAATTGTTAAATTATATATTACATAGAATCTAATTACACCTAAAGTCCCGAATATATTGTTAAGATAGACAAAAATTACTCTACAGCAGTTGTTTTCAACCTTTTTAAATCCACAGAACTCTTCTGGCATCAACTTTGTATCACAAAACCATTCACAGCATTCATTACGAAAAACATTACTGTAATACTGTATCAATAATTCCAGACAAAGCATGCATGTTTAATGCAGAGTTTAACTACATACAATATTTTTCACTTCTGAACCACCTTAAAATTACCATATCTTTCAAATTTCATATTAACATTTCAAGAAAATTTCTAAAATGGTGTTATGCAGTAAGTCTAAATTTTGAACCATACACTGGCATTTTAAGTGCCAAACACGTTTTCATAGTACATGGTTAAAAAAATTACCTTGAATTTGTGAACAACTATCAATTTGTGACAAGCTGATTTTCATGCCTTACTAATCTGTTATGGTTAACTAAGAAAATCACATAATTAGAGATTGTGGAAAGACTAGTTGTTTGTTACTTCAATTGTATTGAATGGTGATTAGATGGGAAAAAGCAAATAGGTATATCTAAATTTGATGATGTTATTAGTGGAGGACTTCAAGGGTCTGTGCTAGGGTCTTTGTTTTTACATTAATAATAATAAGGGCATAATTATGTTATTAGTCAATAAGTTTACTGATGACACTATACTCTTGGGCATTTCTAACTGTATGGAGAATGTTGAGGAAATGGTAATACAGAATGACTTGGATAAATTGGAAAGTTTGACAAAAATTTGGTAAATAGTCTTTAATTGTAGTAACTGCAAGGTAATGCCTTTGGGTTTTAATAGCTTGGATCACACATTTAATATAACCAGAACCCACTAAATAACATGACTGAAGTAAAGAATCTTATTATAGGGATACATAAGAAACTTAAATCATCAAAACAGTTCTCTGTTGCTAGTAGTAAAACCAGTATAATTTTAGGGCATATTTATAAACATATCAATTACAAGTAGAATGAAGGAATTGTATTACTCAATACAAATCGGTACTTAGGCCTTGCTAAGGCATACTGTATACAGTTTTGGTTCTGTTAGAAAGGGCTACTGAATCACCATAAAATCTGTCTTCAGAGAAAGGAAACTTGGATGATTCCAGGGATGGAAGGGTTACCTCTCAAATACATTCTCTTAAGAAAATAAAGATAAGAGGTGATCTTATTGAAGTTTGCAATATTAAAGTTGCATAGAATAATCACCCCCTTGGAGAGTTGTGCTAAAAATAATTTGGATATTTAAAGATTTTGATAAAAAAATCTTTCCCCTCTTAAATCAGCTGGAGATGTGTTGCTAATATATGCATGAATGTTGTTTTAAGAACATATTTTATGTACCTAGTGTCTGGAAAATTTTAAATGTTTTAGCCCCATGGAAATATGTCTAGGTATGACACTGCAATATTATCTGGTGGATTGATAGGATAAAGGCCTTTTATTTTTATTTGTGCTTGCTATGTTCTGAAGATAATTTGACCAGAGGATACAAGATAAGATGTAGGAAACAGTCTAGGCTCCAGTTAAGAAATTATTTT